AAATCACAGGACAGGAGATTCCACCTGAACATTAGGAAGACCTTCCTGACTGTAAATGCTGTTTAACAGTGGAACTCACTGTCTTGGAGTGTGGTGGAAGTTTAAAAGCCTCCTTCCTTGGAGGTTTTTAAACAGAAGCCAGATGGCCATCTGTCAGGTGTGCTTTGATTGTGCTTTTCCTGCACAATGGCCATGTGGTCACTTCCAACTCTATTATCTCGAACAAGAATAAAACTGACTATTTTCATTAAACATTCATTATGGAGTCCTCTTGTAATTAATGAGATAATAGTGGTTAATTAAGCATTACATTTGGCCCAGTGCAATAAGAATTGGTTTTTCATGGTGTGTTATGAAATTTGATGCTAAATGCTAAAAGGCAGTTTCTTAGACCCAATTGACATTTACTATCTCAAATGTATCATGGTGAATGAGTCAATAGCACTGTGGAAATTTAACAAGAATTTTTGTTACTTTTCTTGACTTGATACTTGAGGAAAATTGCAAGAAAGCCAAGCCAAACATTTTTATGGGGTTACTCAGATCCTCTATCCACCTAATTTTGAAAAGAAAAAAAATGCTAAAGGTCAAAAGTCTAAAGCATGCAATCATAGGTGGAGTTGCTGAAGCAAATATTTATTATTCTGTACTTCAATGTTTTCATTATAAGTAATGTAGAGTCACTCAAAATTGTACACAAGATCAGCTGACTGCTACTCAGATTTCCTATTATTGTATCTGTTAGGGGTGTGCAAAACGACAGAAATCCGTTCTGTTTTCGTTTCAAATTTCAGGTGCCCCCGTTGTGTTTTTTGGAAAATTCTGGGAGATTTGTAATTCATGATCTGCAGTTATGTTTCCATTTTGGGAAGAATTTGCTTGAAAACCATTCTGCCATTACTCACTCCCCTATCTACTTATAAAAATGACAGGGAGAGCTAGCATGGTATAGTTCTTTGAGTATTGCATTAGGACTCTGGGAGACTACAGTTTGAATTTGTATTAGGTAATGGAAATCCATTGGGAAAGTCACAATCTTTCAACTTCAAAGGGAAACAATGAAAAATCTCGTCTAAACAATCTTGCCATGAAAACTCTGTGATAAGATCACCATAAGATGGAAAATAGTTAAAGGTATACAACAACAACTTTTTAAAAAAACAATGCAAAAATGAAGGAGACCAAAGAGGCCACAGTATTTAAGATTTAAAGAAAAATGTTACCATAGTGCATGGAATGGTGTTCAGTATTTGACTACAACATATCATGCAGTATCGGTCATTACGTATATCAAAAGGTCAAGTCAAATTTAATTTGATTTGGAAATGGAAAGTTCTGAATCAAAACTTGTGGCTCTTTTAGAAGGCATGAAAGAATACAAATAATTCTCCACAACATTCTCTCCATATTTGAGTATGCCAAAGTGCTGCACAAGAATTATTCTGCAGAGAAAAACATATTTTCTTGTTTTCTATGCAGTAAATCTGTTTTTCTGTGTAGAAAATGGATTTTTTGCATATTTTTTCATTTGTATAATAATTCCTGCACAACACTTCAGGGCATCAAATTCAGGAGAAACCTGTACAAAATTATTTTTGGTCTGTAATTTTTCCAAGTGGAAGTGCCCAGCTGTTGGGTGATCAATTTTCTGACCTATGCTTTAGTAATTAGGAATATTCTTTCAATCCCTACTGTCAGCTGTTATCAAAACCAGACATTTAACAAGATATCCTAAAATTTATTCCATACATCTAGTGTATTAAAATGTGAAGACTCACATAGGTTATTTTATCTTTGGTTTTGTGGATCCATATGATAACATGGAGAGTTTTTTTCAGTTCCCTTGCTTGACTTCACTTGTTCATACTGTTGTCGCAAAACAATCCAAAAAAAGGATGAAGCTAAATAGGAAAGATGACCAGGCCAATTAGATTTGACGCAGATGACTAGGATGGTTGTAAATGGTGTATTTTAATATTTTGATAAATGTTTTTTAATGTTTATGTATTGTGTGTGAATTTGTGTCCCAGCATTGAATGTTTGCCGTGTATATGTTGTGCTCCACCCTGAGTCCCCTTCGGGGTGAGAAGGGCAGAATATAAATGTTTTTAAATAAATAAATAAATGTCTAGTGCCATGACATCATCTTGTCCATTACAGGATCCCTGATTGTTTGGGACCATCTGTAGTAAACCCAGGAAAAAGGAGGAGAAAAGAATGAGAGAAGTGAAAGGCATTAAAACAACATCAAATTTCACTGTGGCAACTGATTTTAAAAGATTCGTAACAATATTTTCTGACAAACTATTATATTCCTCCCTAACCCCCTCCTTGTTATTTCCAGTCTCAGATTGGAAACTGGAGAATGTTTGGCATAGTCTTTCATTTAATATGTACTAGTCACGATATTTAAAACATACATGTAGTGGTGACAGTGGGGAACCAAAATGATTTTCCTGGATGCATGATTGAAGGTACTGATGTGCTTGGTCTAAGCAGCCTTCCTGGAGTGTTTTACACCAACAATACCTTCTTGATTGCTTTTGAAGTCTTCAGTCCACAACTGCTTAAGGGCTCCTGGAATTGTTAAAGCCTCATTTTGTTCCTTCAAAGTAGAAAGAAGCCTGGCCTAAATTAAGGTTGGAGTGCTTTTCCCAAGGCATACCAAGCTTTATGGGAACTTCAGGCACAGTATTTCAAACTGTTAATTCAGAAGTAAGGGGAAAAGAAATTGCCACTATAGCATGGCTCTGTCTAAACAATTCAGCATGTTTTCTTTCAGTGCAAATGCAATACAGCTGCTTCGAGGACCATATTTACAGTTCAGACCCTTTGTAAGTAAATGAAGACAATAATGCTACATAATAATAACCGAGAGAGGGGGTTGGAAGTGATTTTCTAAATATAGGATTTTAAGATGACTTTGTTAATTGGAGTCATTGAACTTCAGATCAGGATATGGCCCAAAAATTAAAGGTCAAGTTTCATTGAACTTCACAAAACAATGAAACTGGTTCTAGGCAGAGGCAAAGGGAGATTTTTTTTACTTGCTTTTCTCAAAACAGCAGTTAAAAGGCTAATATCAGCAGCTGGCATCTTTGTTTGGCATCTAGTTTTGTGTGCGTGCGCATTTGATTTAAAGTTGTCTGTTGACTTATGGTGACTCCATGAGTTTTATAGGGTTTTAATGCCATGTAGTGATTTCAGTGCTGGCCTATAACTCTGGAGATCTGAATTTGAATCAGCCATGAATCAGCCATGAAAACCTATTGGGTGACCTTGGACAAGTCACACAACTCCAGGAAACCCTGTGATGGGCTCATTTTAGGATTGCCATAAGTCAGACAATACTTGAAGACACACAATAATGAAATGTTTTGAATATGAAGGCAATTGGACTTTCTTGGAAGTTGCCCCAGTGCAATCTCTGCCCAGGAGGTTCAGAAAAGTGGCAGATAGAAAGCTGGAGATCTGTTTTGCAATGGTAATGTCATTGTTTTGGCATGGCCTTGCCAGCTGTTGCATGAATGGTTGTGCAGTAGTTGCACTCCAGTCCTGCAGCATAGCTACTAGAAGTGTGCAATTTTTTTGTTTGCCTTGTAATTCTGATCAAATTTGTTAAATTTTGTCCTTACAAGGCAATATCCGACACATGGGCATGGCCCGTGGCAAAAATTTAAGAATCAAAACTTACCCCATACTTTTTCATTTTAATTTTGTAAATCTCGGAAGGCTCCCAAAGTCAGTTTCCTTTTCAGCACAAGGAAGCAAAGCAAAGCCAAAAAAGGCTGCCTAAGTGCCTTGCGTTTTTTTCTAAATTAATAGAGTCTCAGTATTAGGAGTGGGAAAAAGAGGGAGCAGTGTTTGCTGGGAACAGTGCAGAACTTTGTGAAATGTAGTTCAGGGAAAGGAGGAGCTCTATGCCAGAGAATTCAAAAGACCCTGCCACAAGCTACATTTCCCAGAATGCATCAGCATCAGAAAGAACCAATCAGGGAAGCAGAGAGATTTGTTCCTTCCTAATAGCAGCCGATGAGAGTTCCAATGAATGGTTGAATCGGCAAAGAGGAGTACTGACAGATACTTCTAGTAAGTAAATCACTGTGCTGAGCTGGGAAGAAATCCCTAAATGGATGATCCCCATACTATAGGGGAAGCATATTAATTAGTTTAGAGGCTGGATGGCCATCTGTAAGAAGAGTTTTGATGATGCCCTTCTGCCTGGAAGAGGAGGGTTTGACTAGATGGCTCTTGGGGGTTCCCTCCAACTCTAGGATTCTATGAAAATGTAGAATTGGTTAATATTGATTTCTATTGGTTAATATGGGAGACATTCAGTGAAATAGCTGTTGTGCCTTTTAAAAAAAGGTTTTTGTCAAAACTTTTTTTAAAAAAATCCCTAAAATCAGTAGAATTTTAGAAGTTCAGGTGAATGATCCCCTGTTGTTATCTTGTTTCATTGTATAGACAATTCAACAAAATAGCTCTTGTAGTTTTTTTTAAAATGTTGTCTATAAAAACTTTGAAAATTCCCCAAAACTCTGTGGATAAGTGAAACATCCTGAAATAGGATGGGCTTACAGTGGTAAATGTGTTCTACCATTTTAGCAAGTATCACTCTAATAGCTGTAAAAATGAAGGAGGAAGGAACCCCTGAAGTCTCCCCACTTTCACAATTACTATAATGAAAAAATAAAGAAATTTCTGTTACTCTCATCATAGTAACAAAATTTTCACTAACTATACTTTAGAAATAAAATGCCAGCACCCCACGGTTTTGTAATGACTTTTGGACCACTTTTATGGCTCACACGTCCCTAATAGGTACATTTACTTAAGTTCATTCATACTACTTAATTGTTGAATAGGAGATTGATTCTCTCTGATTTGTGCTATATGTACATTCAGTTCATTATTAAACTTAGACTTGTTTACAGCCCAGTGCTGATACTTATTGTGGTTTGTTTCTATCCTAGAGCAACCCCAAATCCAACACATACCTGCTGAATCTGGAGCCAGTGTCCAGACAGTTCAGTCCATTCCTACTCTGGCCTGTTCCCTTGTCTCCATGCAATCAGCAAGAAGTGAGTAGAATGACCCTCTCCTTTTTTTCTGGTTATATGGGCACCCCATTATATAGCTGAGAGAGAAAAGAGAAAATGGGAAAAGAAAAAAAAGAAAAAATATTAATAAAAAATAAAAATTGGGGAAAAATTAAGAATAAGAGATTAAGGGGGTCTTTAACTTCCATTGTACGCCTTCGCGATTATAGTATTGTCAACAGAATATTTAGACCCATTATAAGCACCCATAGATGGAGGTGGTGTCATGGGTGAATAATATATTTTCAATAATTCCCTCATATTATGCAAACCATTATTATATCAATTTCTGGCAACATGTGGTTCTAATGTAATGTCCTTTATTCCTTTTGAACTAATTAGGAATCAATGTGAAATGGGGTACATGAGATGTCTATTGTTTCTATTAAAATTTACTCAAAGTTAATATTTTTCCTCCAAATCTTAGTTTTAGAAAGATGTTTTTATAAAAAAAATATACTGATCACCCCAAGACATTTTCATTTTTTAAAAGGGAAAACTCATATAATTTATTTGCATACTCTGAGCAGTGTAGTTCATGTATCATTCAACAGAATTCATATTTAGTTTTTTTAAGCATGTGGTCATGACTAAAGTTACTTCAGGTTTCAATGTGATAAATCACTTACTAATTACAACCTTACTTTACATTTTTCAAGCAAAATTGATGTATTATCTTGTGAAAAGAACTGAAACTGGGTTAGTCTAATATTGGAAAAGAAAATGATTCTTAATTTTCTGCCCCAATCTTAGCACATCCACCTAACAGTGGTTCTGAAAATTGTTGTAAATACTGTAACCTTTCATATATTCCCACCAAGGGGGCATCTATACTGTGGAATTAATGCAATTTGATACCATTTTGGCTGCCATGGTTCAATGTATTGAATTATGTAAGCTATTATGTAAGCTATAGCTTTGCAAGGTCTTTAGCCCGACAGAAGAACTGGATGAAGCTTTTCTTGACCAGATGACAAAATATGCAAAAAGAAGAAATATAGTAGTAACGGGGGATTTCCACTACTTTGGCTAGAGTACAAAATCCAACAAATTCCTCACTTACCTTGCAGACAATTTTATTGTCCAGAAGGTAGAAGAGGCAACAAGGGGATCTTCTATTCTGGATCTGATCCTAACCAGTACTGAGGATCTCATCAATGGAGTAGAAGTGGTGGGATTCTTAGGTGGGAGTGACCATATACTCCTGGAGTTTGTGAATCAAAAGAAGGGGGAAATTAAGAAAAGTCAAACATGCAGTTCATGAAATTTAAGGAACTACTGAGCATGATTACATGGACAGGAATACTAAAAGAGACAGGAGTTAATGATGGATGGGAGTTTCTTAAAAGTGAGATACTGAAGGCACAATTTCAAACAGTGCCAGCAAGGAGAAAAAAATAAAAGTATAAAACAAGCAGAATGAATTTTCAAAGAACTTTTAACTGCGCTAAGATGTAAAAGAGACATGCACAAGAAATGGAAAAAGGGGAAAACCACTAAAGAGGAATTCAAACAAATAGCCAACATATGTAGAGAAAAGGTTTGTAAGGCTAAGGCACAAAATGAACTCAGGCTTGCCAGAGAGATTAAAACCAAATAAAAAAGTTCTTTGGTTATGTCAGTAGAAAAAGGAAATGGTAGGACCGCTGCAAGGAGAAGGTGGTGAAATGCTAACATGAGGGTAGGGAAATGGGAGTGCTGCTCAACGCCTTCTTTGCTTCAGTCTTCTCCCAAAAGGAGATTGGTGTTCAACCTGAGCAATACAGAGTGGGGAAATGCAACCCAAAATAAGTAAAGAAGTAGTCTAGGAATACCTAGCTCCTCTAAATGAATTCAAGTCTTCAGGGCCAAAAGAACTACATCCAAGAGTATTGAAGAAACTAGCAGAAATGATTTCAGAACACTGGCAATAATCTTTGAGAATTCTTGAAGAACAGGAGAAGTCCCAGCAGATTGGAGGAAGGCAAATGTTCCTATCTTCAAGAAGGGAAAAAATGAGGACCCAAACAATTACTGTCCAGTCAACCTGACATCAATACCAGGAAAGATTCTGGAGCAGATCATTAAGGTGCAAGTTTGCAAAGCAACATTTCCTTGAAATCCAGGGTTATTAATATTCAGTTTTGATAACAACAACAAAAACAATATCACCATCTCCCCGAAGGGGCTTGGAGCGGCTTACATGAGAACCAGGCCCAGTCAAAGAGAATTAAAACATAATTGATTCATTGATGCAAATGAATACTCAGATTGAGATTGTTGGGTCTCAACAGACTTCAGAGTGCATTAACATCATCATACTGACATTCACTAGCATGGTTATTTTTTTATAAACATTTAAAATATGAAGTATGTAATCCAACATTTACTAAGTATAACTTTCATCACTAGGAGTATTTCCATACTCAGAATCCAAAAATCTGACTGTGTTTGGTTTGCTCTCTGTAAAAGGAACCATTTTAAGATGAAGTTTCCATTACAAGTTGAGTAAGTGCTGTTTAATTTGTAACTTCTCTGAGGATTAATTATAGCAAACAAGAGAAATGTAAAGATGAAAAATGGAAGGGTTTGTTTACCTAGATTGGTTCAAAAATAAGCATCATCATATGCCGAGCCAACTGCCCGTGCGTTCCAACTGGTACTCAGGGACACAAAAATAATACATGTTAAGTCTTACTTTTTCTGACACGTCTGGAGCACTTTCAGCTAACATCTGTATGTAACAGGAGATTAATTTGCCATAAGACGGAGTTGTACAGTTTGTGGTTAGAAACATGTACAGCTTCAAAAATTGCAGTATACTGGTATAAAATTTCCACCTACCATCTCAAATTAAGGATTTGAAAGCAGAGGTCTGCTGCATGCTAGTCATGACGATGAATGAATGTTTTTAATGTACAACAATATTCAGATGATATGAACTGAACACTAGGTAAAATGAGATATTGTACTCAGGAAGAGGATTTTGAGTATCATTCACTATTGCTTCCTGTTCCCTTTTATTCCTTGATATTCATGGTTCATCACCATTTAAATTCTAACTTCTTAACACAAATCAATGGCTTCTAAATTATTGAAGTTGTTAATGAATTGGCTGTACACAATGCATGAGTCAAAGAGGGAAAGTGATCTCAACTGGAGATTTTCTAGTGAGGATGGCAGGCCAAGACATCTGTGGTCCAGATAAAGAAAACAGGATAATGTGCTTCCTCTAGGCTACAGGATAAATTATGTCACTTTAATGTGTCACAAATTGCATTCCAGCCAGTTTATAGCTCACATGGGAATGCAATGCTTGGGCATAGAGAATCTTTGGAAACCAGCAAAATTGTTTGGAAAAGTGAGAGAGACATATGGAATTTACAGAAATCATCTGGACATGTCAATTAATTGCCTTGCTTGCAGAGAATATTGGGGGTTCATTATGCTCCAACTCTTACTTGTATTCCTCTGTCTCTCGTATTATATCTAAACCAAGTGATGTCGAAGGGAAAAGTGTCTTCCAATCTGCATAATTGCCCAATATGTGGGGCATAGCATGGTTTAAAATGAAACTCAAGCAATATTTTCAGATTCAATCTCTCTCATTCACGACATGAGTCCCCATGGGGAGACAGGGCGGGATATAAATAAAGATTAATAATAATAATAATAATAATAATAATAATAATAATAATACTTTATTTATAACCCGCTACCATCTCCCCAAGGGACTCGGTGCGGCTTACATGAGGCCGAGCCCACAATACATCAATAATAAAAACAATAGCAACAAGTAATACAAAGCAATAAAAATAAAACTCATAACAGAAAATAAACAATAAACATTAACAGTAACACAACGATGTTTAAAACCTATGGCTGAGCCAAATGTAATAATTAAAATTTAAAAATAATGCTGAGCATGAACAGGTGAAATATGACTAGGATAGAGTTTTCAGAGAGGGGTGGGCGTGCAGACACTCCTAGATCAGTAATAAAGTGCATTTAGAGGACATATTGCTGGGAGTTATTATTATTATTATTATTATTATTACACTTCATTATGATTAAGATAAAAGAAAGCCGTGTCCCTATATCTCACACTGTTAAAGAAAGGAAGATAATGATAAAGTCTAACTTGCAAATGGATTTTGTACAAGAGCAATACTAGAATCCAATGAATTTCCTACACTCATATGAAGTTCTATGCTAGTTTAGTCAAATCTTTGCTTTTTATCTTTCAACAGCTGGCTCCTGTGCCATACTATAAACAGTTTGTCATGCAATTGGTTAGGTTTTTTGAGTAAAACAATCCTAACCTCTCTCTTTAGAGGGACAATTTTCTTTGGATTCTAGCCGAGGGGGCTAGAAACACAAGAATAACAAGGCTAACCAACACTGTGTGTAAAGAATTTGGAAATATGTAGAAGCTGTGTAATATCAGGTCAAATTGGCAAAACTGTGTTTACTTTGAATGGCAGCAGCTCTTCGTGTTGTCAAGCAAAGGACTTTTCCACCCCTTTCTCCTTTATACTGGAGATGTCCTCTCAACATCTGCATGCAAACCATGTGGCCGGCCACTGGACTCTGCTCTCTCATATGGTAGGTAAATGGGCAAAATAGGAAAGGGGATATGGAAACAAAATAAGTTTCTATTATGTAAAATTGATAAATGACTGTGCCTTCAAATTACAAACAACAACAACAAATGATACATTTGTATATATAGTACTGTTCCATTATCCAGGCAGAGGCCAAAGGGGGGCACTAGGCAGAGAAGGATAGTCTGTTTTACCAGAGGGGGGAATTGAAGGATGAAAACTATTTTCCCCATTTCCGCTAGTTTCCCTCCCCGCCTTGTTTCCACGATAGTGACATGGGTGAGGGGGATAACAGAAAAATGGGGAAATTGTTTTATTCCTTCAACCCCCTCCCAAAAATGGACTATCCTTCTCTGTCTAGTGTCCCCTTCTGGCATCTGCCCGAATAATAGAACAGTACCATATATACTTTTCACGAGCACTACTTTGATGTATTCAATCTTGGGATACAAACT